TTACTACGTCATTATTCATCCTCTTTTATTCCTACTCTGTCTATACTTGTTTTTTCGACTTATACAGCAGCTTGTCTATGGTGGAAATTCGACTCTATCTAAACGTTCTCGAGTCACTGTCCGGTTGAAAATTGTATGTTACCACCGAATATGAGTAGTGAAGCAGATTTTCTGAAACCACGTGCACTATTCAAACTGGCTGCCTTCAACGTTCGCACAGTTATGCAGGTTGGACAACAGATAAGGCTGCCTATGTCTTTAGAAAGTCTTAATATCGATGTTTTCTGTCTATCCGAGACCCGTATTCAAGACTCTGGTGAAGTACTACAAATTCTCTCTCCATCTGTCGCTTCGAAAAGCTTGTTTTACGTGCGCTTATCCGGGGACCCTGTGGCATCTTCGTCTGGTCTTGCTGGCGTTGGTGTCGCACTAAGCGCTAGAGCTGAGGCAGCACTAATCGACTGGATCCCCATTAACAGTCGGTTATGTGCTGTTAGATTAGAAAGTTCCATCAAAGTGAGGAGAAATCGGCGTGAGAAACGATGTCTTTTCATCATCTCCGCCTATGCCCCGACAGATTGCAGCCCGGATGCAATCAAGGATGAGTTTTACCACCAGTTATCTGTTCTTCTCCAGAAAGTGCGTTCGACAGATATTGTAGTACTAGCCGGAGACTTGAATGCTCAGGTCAGGCATCTAGGCACAGAAGAGAGTCGTTTAGTTGGTCGATGGGGACTTGTTGGTCGCAGGACAGATAACGGGGACCGTCTACTGCAAAGGTGCACAGGCCACAACCTGTTTCTGGTTAGCACTAACTTTCGGCACAGTCACCGCCGATATGCCACCTGACGTCTTCCCTCTGCATCTCAAGCCTGGACTCAGATGCCAATCACTAACATCCATAGACGTCTTGGACGATGGACAGAATTTTTCGAAGGGCAGTTCAACTGGCCTGCTGCTCCGGCAACATCGGTCAGACTGTCTTGCTCTCCATGGCCGGTGACGACTGTTCCACCAAATCAGGCGGAAGTCCGCAAGGAACTCCAACTCTTGAAGCGCTACAAATCACCTGGCCCAGATGACTTACCTCCGGCTCTTTTTAAAGATGGTGGTGACTTTCTGACTAAGTAACTGACGACGTTGTTTACAAAGTTTTGGGGGCTAGAGAGTGTACCAACGCCATAGAATGAGTCGATAGTTGTCCCTATCTTTAAAAAGGGTTCACGTCGTTCCTGTAACAACTATCGGGGGATAAGTCTACTTCCGATTGTGTCCAAGCTATTGGCTTCCGTCATACTTCGTAGGTTGTTCAAAACCCGAGAAAGATTGACTCGCGAGGAGCAGGCTGGGTTTCGTTCCGGTCGAGGATGTACTGACTATATCTTCACCCTCCGCCAAATGTTAGAACACCGCCATACTTATCAAAGGCCAACAATCGTAGTGTTTCTTGGCATTAGGGCTGCCTTCGATTCGTTGGATAGGACTGTTCTCTGGGATTGTCTATTGAAGAAGGGTGTGTCTGAGAAGTTTATTGACATCCTAAAAGCCCTATATACAAACACCTCAGGCAGAGTGAGAGTATACAACCACCTCTCTCCATTGTTCCATTCGAGCAGTGGGGTTAGACAGGGTTGCCCAATCTCACCATTCAGCTTTGCCATCGACGACATTCTGGAAACAGCTCTGATGGATGTGAGTAATGGCGGTGTAGATATGTTGCCTGGAGAAAGACTTCTCGACCTTGAGTATGCGGATGATATTGTCTTACTGTGCGATAATGCCCAAGCCATGCAATCCGCACTTAATTAGTTGGCAATCAGTGTCCGTAGGTACGGTATGTGCTTTGTACCTTCGAAGTGCAAAGTACTTCTACAAGACTGGCAGGATTCTAATCCTGTACTCACCCTGGATGGTGAGAAGATAGAAGTAGTCGAGAAGTTCGTGTATCTAGGTAACTGCATAAGTGCTGGTGGTGGCGTGCGTGATGAGACCGATTCACGTATAGTGAAAGCCAGAGCGGCTTATGCCAATCTGGGCCATCTTTGGCGCCTTCGTGATGCTAGTCTGGCTGTAAAAGGTCGGATCTACAACGCGTCGGTGAGAGCAGTTTTGCTCTATGCTTGTGAAACCTGGCCTCTCCGAGTTGAGGACGTTAGACGACTCTCTGTGTTCGATCATCGTTGTCTCCGAAGGATTGCTGACATCCAGTGGCAACACCATGTTAGTAATACAGAGGTTCAGCATTGTGTGTTCGGGCACAGAGACGATAATGCATTCGGTGTCACCATCTTGAAACACCGACTTCGGTGGCTTGATCATGTTCTACGAATGTCGTCCCAGAGAATTCCACGTTGTGCATTATTTGCCGACACCGGGATTGGTTGGAAAAAGCGGAGAGGTGGTCAGTGTATGACATGGTGTCGTGGCATGGAAGAAAGCTGCAAAGGACTGGCTTGTGTTGGTCCTTCACGACTCCCTGGTTGGGGTCCGAGAGATGGTGCTACACAGTGGTTAGAGACGTTATCAGAAATGGCTCAGAATAGAAGTCAGTGGCGATCCTACTGTAACCTTCTTTTACTTTCTTCGTAAAAAGTGGTTGTATCTTCCTTAACTGAAGGATTTCTTCTGATTGTACCGTTCCGTTCCCCCATTATTATTATTATTATTATTATTATTATTATTATTATTATTATTATTAATACACTACCTTGCACCAATCTCTTCGTTATCGTTCTCATTTTTTTAACGCTCCTTACCTTTGTTATTTTTCCTTCTCTTTAAATCCTCATTGTTTTGTGTGGCGCATATATATTTGGCGCACTCTTGTACCAATATTTATGTGTTCAAATAAATAAATAATCGTCACCTATAGAAGCCAAATAGTTGGTCTGGGGTTGTAACGACCCTAACTTCAGGTTTTAGTCTGAAGTCAAAGCGTAAGAAACAAACATTATCCGGTTAGATCAAACTACTTTCTTATATATAGTGTACAAGGCGTTTCTGAGCTACTTGTATTAAATTACACCAAAACACATACTCTGCGTCCAATATAAGTATTTCTAATTTAATAGAACAAATTATGTTCAAAATACAAAACACCTCAAATAGTATAGTCTGTACTATACAGTCAATGGTTTCTCTAACACAAACTATCGTGCTAAACAACAAAACTGATAGTTAACAAACACGAGTCCGATACCTGGGAATCAATAAGAGTATTCCCAACAAGATGACTTCAGATATCTAGTTGTGGGGACTACAGCAATCTTTCCAAGCTGATAGTCAAAGGTGAACAGTCATACACCAAACCACACCATGATCTTTAAATTAGTCAAACACGACCTTACTGTCAATAGTCTGGCAACAGAAAAATTAAGTAACAAAAGGTAAGTCTTTAACCATAGTCACATAACAAAAGCTTAGACGAGGTAAACTGTAGAACATAATGTGAGGCTAAAAGATACCTAAATGAAGCTTTCGATACACGATAAAGAGAAGAAACAAGTAAGTGACAATGTAAGCGTTTGGGAAATTAACTGGCTTAGATATTACTAACTCGGCATCAGCTTATGTATCCGATTTTTTGTCCTAGAGGATCAAAGTCACGATTGTGTTGCAAATTTTTATGGAAATCGGTCCGCTAACCACCTACTGTTAAGCCAAAGATCACTGTTGCGCACCTACATTTTTCTGGGCACCAAGCAAAATAAGTCTATGTGAACTTTCATTTTACCTTCTTATGTAAAAATAATTCCCATTTGCCATAGGTTTTCTTGAAATATTGATCTAGGAAAAATCTTTGCTTACGTCTTCTGAATCTGGAAACTGAAATTACAAACCGCAAAATGAAAAAATAATCCGATGTTTCAAGTTCTTCAATGTTTTGAGTGGGGGAATGTCACCAGAAACAGCATACACATGGGTAGGTTTTCAGTCGTATTGACCACGGTCACCTTGAATATAAATCCATACAAGCTATTCGTTATAAAAAAGATAACTAATCTGCAAATTATCAGTATTTTGTATCCATAGTAAGACGATGATAATCAAATATAACTCTTTCCAGACAACTAATACTATTGAACGATAGGTAACAGGGTAGCACTTACGTGAAGTAGGAATGTTTTTCTAAACATCCTTCGAGTGTTGTTGGACGAAAGACCGATAAACAATTATTCTATATGTTGAATGCTGGATAAAATTAACAAATCTGTCAGTGAAATTCCAAACTCTAATCATATAGGATAGTTAGAAGACCTGCAACAAATTTTCAACCCCAACATATTTTGAAGCGTAACGCTGATTAACATACGACATAATAAAAGCATGTGATTAGGTCAGAATACGCTAGAAATGAACACCTAATGACTCGAGCTATGTAGGAAAATGCGTGCTTTTTATTTGAGAATTACAATCATCACGAAAGCCTGGAAACTTTATGTGATAGGGTTCAAAATCGATCTTAATGTAACTCATACATTTACTTATCATTATATTTCCTTAGTTTTTATAAACTTCATTTTTGTTTTCTCACTAATCTTGGTATTATGATTTAAAGTCGTCTGAATTTTCATTGTTACAGATTTCCTTAAGGTATTACACTATGTATGTATCTCTAAATCGTAAACCTAGATTATGGGACGTCGTGGACTGATGAACTACAGATTCTACATTGTTTATGAATGAATGACTGACGAACTAATTGACTGAGTCCAATTATAAATATTCGCACTATCCGAGATTCTAAGCAATAAAAGTGTTTACTCATTTTATTTTTTAATTAAATATTATCATTAGGTCACAGAACAAATGACTAAAATTTTAAAGTACTCGTCATGAAAATTTTTAGAATTGTTATTGGCTAAATAAATTAATTCGAAACAAAAGGGAGACAAATATAAAGAGCGTCCTTTGAATTCTTCAATCGAAAAAGAGTAGACTGAACTTTGTTTATTCATGTAACTGAATACACAGACAGTAAATTCCAATTAACCACATATTTATTTGCCTTTACTTTCTTGATGAAGTAAGTCTTGACGTGAGCTCAACACTAGCGCCTGTAAAACAAGAATTAAAGTGTAAAGCTTTTAGATAAAAAGATTCAATTAGAAAACAAATTATACGGCTCATTAATGATTGAACTCCTCGCCAATTTATCAAGCAATAACTAGAATCAGTACATTAAATTTAACTTGGTAAGTTGAAACTCATTCTTTAAATCATACTAAGTTAACTCAATTTTCAATTCTGTTTTGAAAATCTATTGATGCAATTAGTAATATTACTACTATGAGCCATATCATTTACATGAGACCTAGTGACACAATCCAGTTGGTCAAACAACAAGATTCAGTGACGTCAAGATTTGAGATCCATTGGTTGGAAGATGATCGCCTTAATTAATAAGCCAATGCAGCACACTCAAACTTTCAAATAATCGGTATTACTAGAATTCAAAACCGGGTACATGAACATGTACCATAATGGAATGACTACAAATAACTTCTACTTCAAAAAAGAGTAATTTCATAACAATATCACGTACTTGAAACATAATATCTGTTTATCGACCCCCAATAACAGATAGTTAATACAAGTTTAAATGAGAAAATAACAACAACTAAAATAGATAACACCTTATCCGACATATTCTCAAACTGTATCTTACACTTTCGAATTTATATAACTGTGTGTTGACAAAGGTTGACTATCCAACTGATAAGTCATGCTGATTGAACGCTATATTCGGTTCCTAAGCTATTCTTGTAACCCCCAAGCTGGAACTACACAGCGACCTGAGCACGAGAGAAAAGGTGCAAAATATGCGAGAGGCACTTTACCCCAAAGGTTCGTTCTGGTACAGAAAACATAGGGTTTTCATAGTATTTTAGATGTCCTTGAGTTTCCCGAAGATTCTGGAATGCTACTACTAAACAAAGTAGCAGGATAGTAATCATCCAATCAGAAACTCTACACGTGACTTTTCACTTTATTGATGTTTCTGGCTAAACTACAAGTGAACGCTGATTGGATAAAATGCTTCTTTGTGTTTTCCTGATCCTTCCTTGTCTTTTGCAAAACGTTCTCTGGATCAACCCAACACCTCCTCCCCTTCCAAAAAATAAGACCTCTTCTTCGGGTCTACTTGCAGCTTGATGACTGATTTTCTGCGGCGTCCGGACTTTCTTAGTATCCAGCGTCTATGAGCGTATGTTAAGGTTCCTGTCATTGGAGTATCTGTACTTATATCTAACGGAAGCCTCACTTGATTATCTACCGTGTCTAGAGTCCTTTTCTCTCTATGTATTTGATTAATGTGTCTAATCCAAACTCCGAAAGACCCAAGCACTTTGTATAGAACATTTCCCATTTTCTCAACGACTTCCGGTTCCCAACGATTTTTCCCAATGTTTGACTTGACGAGCACTTTATCACCGACGTTAGAACTCCGGATATTCTGGTTTTGTCTGCATCCATCCATTGGTTTAGGTGGTAACATGACGTCAAACATCGCTTCAGCAGAGGATTTCCTATCTGGGACGAAAGGGTTAGGCTTAGTTTTATAAGCTGTTAAGAATTTCGTAATTACCTGACCTGTCCCCTCTCCTTCCCCTTTCAGTAGTGCTCTTTTGAATGTGTCCTTCCCAACTTTCGACGTACCGATGTTGTTGCAGATCGAGTTTATGGGGCGGTTTGTTAACTTCAGCCTTTCTATCCAACCAAGCCCCAACAAGTCGAGTGATGGACAGTTTGTTTGAAAAATTACACCCTTCTCCGTAAACTCTTTGACTGTGACTTCACAATGAATCTCAACAGGGACGTTTAGAATCTCCCCAGATGCACTCTGTGCTGATTGATGAGTTGAATATATTCTCGGTTTCTCAATTTTCTCCCACGTTCTCCTGCTTATAAGTGTTATATCGGAGGCTGTGTCTAACTGTAAGCGGGCATAATACCCATTAATCTTGAGAGAAACATACTTTCTACGGTTATGGGAGCCGGTTTCGTGAGGAGATACTGTTACTTTAGCTGTTTGTGGCTTGAATCTTTTAGAATACACTTTCTGTTGATGGCGTTTCCGGGTTTAGCAATGACTTTCTTTGTGCCTTTTTCTGGAACACAGTACATAGTTTTTATTGATGCAAATACATTTTACGTTTAGTTATAGCCTTTGTATATTTAACAGGCACCAAGTGTTCAAAGTCTGTCAGTATGTATTGCGTTCATGTCTGGCAGATGATACTGACTGAATCTTATATGATAATATTGAATAGTTCAAAACATACTTTTCAGAATTTTCAGACAAACAAAATTAGGTAAATTACTTAACATTGTTATATAAAATGAAACGCCACTAATATCTAATCAAGTGACACAAAAAAGACAAGTCTGTGAAAGAAAACCAAAGTACCTTATTTGCTTCAATAGTTTTTGTCCAGTCACGAGCACCAATCAGTCTCACAGCTTCTAATAAGAGTTTTCTAACTTGACCAACACTTTTATTAAACTGTTCCAAGACCATGTCAACACAGACCTGGTAAAAACAAAATAATATATCAAAAATGAGTTTGTTGGTATCAATGCCAAGGTTGGACTTCATAGTTTCAAACAAATTGTATTATTTATTTATATATATGAACACATAAATATTGGTACAAGAGTGCGCCAAATATATATGCGCCACACAAAACAATGAGGATTTAAAGAGAAGGAAAAATAACAAAGGTAAGGAGCGTTAAAAAAATGAGAACGATAACGAAGAGATTGGTGTAAGGTAGTGTAGTAATAATAATAATAATAATAATAATAATAATAATAATAATAATAATAATAATAATAATAATAATAATAATAATAATAATAATAATAGTAATAATAATAATAATAATAATAATAATAATAATAATAATAATAATAATAATAATAATAATGGGGGAACGGAACGGTACAATCAGAAGAAATCCTTCAGTTAAGGAAGATACAACCACTTTTTACGAAGAAAGTAAAAGAAGGTTACAGTAGGATCGCCACTGACTTCTATTCTGAGCCATTTCTGATAACGTCTCTAACCACTGTGTAGCACCATCTCTCGGACCCCAACCAGGGAGTCGTGAAGGACCAACACAAGCCAGTCCTTTGCAGCTTTCTTCCATGCCACGACACCATGTCATACACTGACCACCTCTCCGCTTTTTCCAACCAATCCCGGTGTCGGCAAATAATGCACAACGTGGAATTCTCTGGGACGACATTCGTAGAACATGATCAAGCCACCGAAGTCGGTGTTTCAAGATGGTGACACCGAATGCATTATCGTCTCTGTGCCCGAACACACAATGCTGAACCTCTGTATTACTAACATGGTGTTGCCACTGGATGTCAGCAATCCTTCGGAGACAACGATGATCGAACACAGAGAGTCGTCTAACGTCCTCAACTCGGAGAGGCCAGGTTTCACAAGCATAGAGCAAAACTGCTCTCACCGACGCGTTGTAGATCCGACCTTTTACAGCCAGACTAGCATCACGAAGGCGCCAAAGATGGCCCAGATTGGCATAAGCCGCTCTGGCTTTCACTATACGTGAATCGGTCTCATCACGCACGCCACCACCAGCACTTATGCAGTTACCTAGATACACGAACTTCTCGACTACTTCTATCTTCTCACCATCCAGGGTGAGTACAGGATTAGAATCCTGCCAGTCTTGTAGAAGTACTTTGCACTTCGAAGGTACAAAGCACATACCGTACCTACGGACACTGATTGCCAACTAATTAAGTGCGGATTGCATGGCTTGGGCATTATCGCACAGTAAGACAATATCATCCGCATACTCAAGGTCGAGAAGTCTTTCTCCAGGCAACATATCTACACCGCCATTACTCACATCCATCAGAGCTGTTTCCAGAATGTCGTCGATGGCAAAGCTGAATGGTGAGATTGGGCAACCCTGTCTAACCCCACTGCTCGAATGGAACAATGGAGAGAGGTGGTTGTATACTCTCACTCTGCCTGAGGTGTTTGTATATAGGGCTTTTAGGATGTCAATAAACTTCTCAGACACACCCTTCTTCAATAGACAATCCCAGAGAACAGTCCTATCCAACGAATCGAAGGCAGCCCTAATGCCAAGAAACACTACGATTGTTGGCCTTTGATAAGTATGGCGGTGTTCTAACATTTGGCGGAGGGTGAAGATATAGTCAGTACATCCTCGACCGGAACGAAACCCAGCCTGCTCCTCGCGAGTCAATCTTTCTCGGGTTTTGAACAACCTACGAAGTATGACGGAAGCCAATAGCTTGGACACAATCGGAAGTAGACTTATCCCCCGATAGTTGTTACAGGAACGACGTGAACCCTTTTTAAAGATAGGGACAACTATCGACTCATTCTATGGCGTTGGTACACTCTCTAGCTCCCAAAACTTTGTAAACAACGTCGTCAGTTACTTAGTCAGAAAGTCACCACCATCTTTAAAAAGAGCCGGAGGTAAGTCATCTGGGCCAGGTGATTTGTAGCGCTTCAAGAGTTGGAGTTCCTTGCGGACTTCCGCCTGATTTGGTGGATCAGTCGTCACCGGCCATGGAGAGCAAGACAGTCTGACCGATGTTGCCGGAGCAGCAGGCCAGTTGAACTGCCCTTCGAAAAATTCTGTCCATCGTCCAAGACGTCTATGGATGTTAGTGATTGGCATCTGAGTCCAGGCTTGAGATGCAGAGGGAAGACGTCAGGTGGCATATCGGCGGTGACTGTGCCGAAAGTTAGTGCTAACCAGAAACAGGTTGTGGCCTGTGCACCTTTGCAGTAGACGGTCCCCGTTATCTGTCCTGCGACCAACAAGTCCCCATCGACCAACTAAACGACTCTCTTCTGTGCCTAGATGCCTGACCTGAGCATTCAAGTCTCCGGCTAGTACTACAATATCTGTCGAACGCACTTTCTGGAGAAGAACAGATAACTGGTGGTAAAACTCATCCTTGATTGCATCCGGGCTGCAATCTGTCGGGGCATAGGCGGAGATGATGAAAAGACATCGTTTCTCACGCCGATTTCTCCTCACTTTGATGGAACTTTCTAATCTAACAGCACATAACCGACTGTTAATGGGGATCCAGTCGATTAGTGCTGCCTCAGCTCTAGCGCTTAGTGCGACACCAACGCCAGCAAGACCAGACGAAGATGCCACAGGGTCCCCGGATAAGCGCACGTAAAACAAGCTTTTCGAAGCGACAGATGGAGAGAGAATTTGTAGTACCTCACCAGAGTCTTGAATACGGGTCTCGGATAGACAGAAAACATCGATATTAAGACTTTCTAAAGACATAGGCAGCCTTATCTGTTGTCCAACCTGCATAACTGTGCGAACGTTGAAGGCAGCCAGTTTGAATAGTGCACGTGGTTTCAGAAAATCTGCTTCACTACTCATATTCGGTGGTAACATACAATTTTCAACCGGACAGTGACTCGAGAACGTTTAGATAGAGTCGAATTTCCACCATAGACAAGCTGCTGTATAAGTCGAAAAAACAAGTATAGACAGAGTAGGAATAAAAGAGGATGAATAATGACGTAGTAAATAATAATAATAATAATAATAACAATAATAATAATTCGAATCATTTGATTGTTAGTCGAAGCAAGAAAACTAGTTTCCATAGATGTAGAGAATTCCTCATTTGTGTGTGGGTTGTGATACTGCCCGGGTGCCCAGACCGAAGCAGGTGGTTTTCTCAGGGGGCCACACCCCGAGCCTTTGACCTAAAAGTCTAACCCACAAGGCAGTGGAGCATCGTAAGGAGATGCAGTCCCATGGTAGCCGGTGACCGAAAATTGGTTCATATGCCATTTGTTCCCACAGGATACTGGAGCCCATGTGCACCATTGATTTGGTTTGGGATCCAGTTAAAGCGCCGGACATTCGCTTTTCGTCCTCTCATTTTCCTAAACAACACCCCCTCCACAAGAAGGCAGTGAGTAGGAATTCCCTGGCAGATGCTGTGTACGCGTGGCCGTGTGAGAGTATTTCAAGAGGGAGGGCGAACCCACCCCGCTCTCGGCCATACCAGGGCATTTGGGGGCATGGGTGACGAACTGCAATATAAATTGGATATCCTTCATTGAGAGCAACCTTAAAGCAAACATCCTACTATCAGAAACCTCACTGATGTAAAAAAGGTCGATATTTAAATGAACCTTGGATATTAGAGCTAGATATGAGAAACCGTAATCTGCAAGATACGCTGAAAGAAAACCATCGAAAGTCCTGAAGAATGAGTCAGGATGACTGTCATATGGTGCTTGAAATGATGTGTGGTTGTTCAGACGAAGGTTATATGTACGATGGATAACAATACAGATGTTTTTTACATAACATCTGGTTGCTTGGAGTTATGGTGACCAGTGAATCTGGACTTCACCTTGCGTTTTTTATCCTGATAGTCATAGAATTCAAAAGTCAGGAGGATTTAACTGAACTCTACAGAATAAAGGTGTGACACTCAAAAATGCAATCCATTGTCAGTTCACCACGACCGACAGCCCATGACTTAGGGCACCAACAGAAATCTTATTTAATGAACTAAACATGGAGGTAAAAATCTCGTATCAGTTGGTTTCCACAGAAATGGCTAGTTTACTCTTAACTGCAGTGTACTCACAACCATCAAAACATTTGCTGCCTAAGAGGAAATTAGTGCCCTGAGAGTAATGTGAAGGGTATTAGGTGAAAGATGCGAAAAATGAGAAACTTGTTTCTAGTTCGAGATGAAGATCACAGTTCTATCAGAACCTTGTCTTTCTTCAGACTTCGCGGACGATGTGATAAAGCATGAAATGTACCATGTGTCATCGGGAAAGTAAAAGAGGAGGTAGACTGGTAATATACGCCAAAAAGCACATTGAAGTCTAGAGATCACATCATAGTAGACCGACCAGGTCACCGGAGTTCCTCATGTGTTATGTTGATTACTTAGGATCTTGTCGTGACCATAAATAACAAGGAATAATATAGGTCGATTTACTTCCTGCCCTGACGACTGAAGTACCGCCTTCTTACGGTTATTAACACTGCATCAAGGAAACTCTGAGGTTGATATCATTTTCACCATACCTGAGTGGTTTTGTAAAAACAGAATTTATCTCCAAAAGGATTCTGACTATAACTCTTACTAATTACTAATAAGTAGACGTGGTCCGGAAGTGCGAGAAGAAAGGTATTTTCATAACAAATTTGTAGTTACAATACAGACCGATTCAAAATATTTACAAATCTTCATAACTAAACCATATGACAGTCATCCTGACTCATTCTTCAGGACTTTCGATGGTTTTCTTTCAGCGTATCTTGCAGATTACGGTTTCTCATATCTAGCTCTAATATCCAAGGTTCATTTAAATATCGACCTTTTTTACATCAGTGAGGTTTCTGATAGTAGGATGTTTGCTTTAAGGTTGCTCTCAATGAAGGATATCCAATTTATATTGCAGTTCGTCACCCATGCCCCCAAATGCCCTGGTATGGCCGAGAGCGGGGTGGGTTCGCCCTCCCTCTTGAAATACTCTCACACGGCCACGCGTACACAGCATCTGCCAGGGAATTCCTACTCACTGCCTTCTTGTGGAGGGGGTGTTGTTTAGGAAAATGAGAGGACGAAAAGCGAATGTCCGGCGCTTTAACTGGATCCCAAACCAAATCAATGGTGCACATGGGCTCCAGTATCCTGTGGGAACAAATGGCATATGAACCAATTTTCGGTCACCGGCTACCATGGGACTGCATCTCCTTACGATGCTCCACTGCCTTGTGGGTTAGACTTTTAGGTCAAAGGCTCGGGGTGTGGCCCCCTGAGAAAACCACCTGCTTCGGTCTGGGCACCCGGGCAGTATCACAACCCACACACAGATGATGAACTGTCAAATAAATTGAACATTCTGTGGAGAGTTAATAATATACATGTAAACCGAGAAAGGATTTATGTCTCATATTCAGTAAAACCAGCCTTTAGATGGTTATAGAGGTTTTATGCTAGTCGGAAATTAAGGTCACCCATTAGTGAATATGAGTTATTTGAGTGCCGGATAATTTTGTCTACTAGTTTTGTTTAATTATCGATTGCATAAAAGACTTTATCCAATGTTACCCTTGGGAGAACATAATTTACTAAAAGTAATAACTTTATTCCATTAAATGAAATGAACTAGAAATCAGATCCTAGGTATTCAACTACCTGTAATAATTATTCAGCTTTTAACTGTTTAAGGTTTCAATAGTGCAATGCAATATGACAATGTCTTTCGTAAAACATCATTTGATTATTCAGACGATCAGTAACATAGAATGAATAAAAGGCGTTGTTATAACAGGCTCAGTTATTATTCCCACAGTTGTAGTCTAATTCTATGCTTAAATTATTATCCATCAATCAAACAGGAAACATGAATGACAATGATTCCAGTAAAAAAGAAACCAGCTAATTATGCCATCCAATTTCTATCAGAAATTAAACTCCATTACCAACTAATTATCCATCTATTTAGTGAAAAGATTGGTATTTGGTTGATTAGTCAACAATAAGAATTATAATGTGCCGCGCATATTAAGTAAAGGGTTACATACTCGGATTTGAGTCACACTAATTTGTGAAAGGAATAGTAATACTACCTAACTGACAAAACAGAAGTGGACTTAGATTCGAATCTGAAATCAACTGGTTGAAAAAACTGAGTGCTTTAATTACTAAGTCACAGAAATTCCTAGATTTTTTCCTATCGATTATGAACCAGTATAAACTGAAGTAGCCCGGTATACTAAATAACAACTAATAATGATTATACTTTAGTTTAGTACTTCCTAGAAATACAATTTTTAAGAATGCATGAATATCCTCAAATTTAAAGACGAATAAAATCACAATTTTATTGAAATCCACAACCCCATACTGAGAATATAAAAAAATTATTGGACATCCTTATGTATGTATCTATAAAATAATATACAAAAGTAACCAGTAAATATTGACTTCCTCACGTGTTCCTCATCTGCTTTCCAACCATCAAAATCTGTAACAATTGCTATAGAAGCATAACTTAAGCCAGCTTCACGAGCTAAAGAAACTTCAGGAACTAATGTCATATTGATCAAATCGAAACCCCATTTTTGGAATAACAATGATTCGCAACGAGTTGAGAAACGTGGGCCATTAATCGTAATTACAGAACCTTCAGTATGTACACACGGATGATTGATAATTGTATCTGAACTACACGTTTTATCACGAATAGTCAGTGATAGATTTTTAGCTGCTTTGATTAGAACCTGAAAAAATGAAGTATACAAAGAAGTTGGTGTTGAACTATCAAGTAAATTCAAACATTCCATTCGCAGTTTCATGATTTAATCAACTGCATAATGGAGACTGGATAATGACTGACTAATTATTATGTATGCTTAGAATTATTAACTACGAAATAAAACGAAGTACGATCAAACCATGAAAATACGCCTCAGTTAGACGGAATGCAAGGGTATGTTTGGAGGAATATTGAAACTGAAGATTAAGAGAAAGATAGAATAAATGCGTTTGCAATATTGCGAACGGGTTGATGAGAGAACTTTGACGCAAAGTGTGGACTTACCGCCATACCTAAGACCGAAATTCAATGATATTATGGACTAATGACGCGTCTTGGGTTGGCGACCCATAGTTTCGTTCCATATTACTCCTACACCATTTCAGTCAGTCAGTCAGTCAGTCAGCTACAACGTAGGACCAGGCACATATGTGCATCGGTCCAGGTTGCCATACCTCATTAGCACAACAAGATGAACACCGGATTCATAGGAGTGGTAAGGTCAAAGGTTGCAACAAGGATATAGCATAGGAAGGAAGAATTAGTTCGTAGAAAGAAAGATATGAAGTGATTTTAATCTCTTAGTTTAAGGGAAGACAAAGAGTGTATACACCGACGCCATTGTGATCGATTCTGAGCCATTCCACTCACAGTCTCCAACCATTGGTTACGAAAGTCACGCGGACCCCAACCAAGTAGTCTGCATCTACCAACATGGCTAAGACTAGAAGTTAGTGACTTCAAGCACTGATGCCACGTTTTGGTTTGGCCGCCCTTAACTTTCTTCCAACCAACCCCTACACCGGTTAGCATTGCATGTCGTGGTAGTCGGTGTTCACGCATACGTAACACGTGGCCCAACCATCTCAGTCGATGAAGATTCATAACCTCATCAACTGATTTACCACCATTCCCTAATACCCTGCGTCTAACCTCACTATTACTTACCCGGTAATCCCAGCAGATGCCAGCAATATTTCTAAGGCATCTGTGGTCAAATACTTGTAGCTTACGGGTGTCTTCTACTCTTAAAGGCCATGTTTCGCTGCCGTAAAGTAAGACAGAACGGACTGCCGCGCAGTATACTCGTCCTTTTATTGATAGACGGATATCTCGCCTCCGCCATAGGTGACGTAAGTTGGCAAAAGCCAAACGAGCTTTTCGAATCCGTGTAGAGATTTCGTCAGACACCAACCCATTAGGGCTGATCAGACTTCCAAGATAAGTGAAGTTGTCGACGCGTTCGACTACTTCACTCTCTATCCTTAGTTCAGGTGTTGACGCAGACCAGTCCTGAAGCAACAACTTGCATTTAGAGGGAGAGAAGCGCATCCCAAACATTCTGGCATTGTTGCTTAGTGCTACCAGAAGACTCTGCATTTTGTCAGCGTCTTCACCAAACAGGACTATGTCATCTGCGTATTCTAAGTCGATAAGTGGACCTCCTGGAAGGAGATCAATACCCGAGAATTCAGTCGACGAGAGTGTTATTTCCATCAATAGGTCTATGATGAAGTTAAACAAAAATGGAGAAAGTGGACAGCCTTGACGGACACCACTTGAAGTTGCAAAAGTAGATGACAGTTCGCCATAAGCCCTGACTCGACTAGTAGTGTTCGAGTAAAGAGCCTTCACAAGGTTTATGTACTTCTGAGGTACGCCTTTCAATGACAGACACTGCCATAGAGTCTCGCGGTCTACAGAGTCAAACGCTGCTTTTAAGTCAAGAAAGACCACCATCGTCGGACGCCGATAGGTATGCCTGTGTTCTAGAACCTGACGAATGGTGAATATGTGGTCGATGCAGCCACGACCAGGTCTAAAGCCAGCTTGGTTCTCTCGAGTTTGTAGTTCACGAGTCTTAGTTAGGCGTCTGATAATTATCGAGGCTAGTATTTTAGATACTATGATTGTTAAACTAATCCCTCTGTGGTTGTCACAGGATGATTTTGACCCTTTCTTATATATTGGGACGATAAGTGATTGTGACCAGTCAGATGGGATAACGTCTAACTCCCAGATCTTAGCTAAAATATTAATCAACCTAATCGCTAAAATTGGACCACCATCCTTAAAGACCTCTAGAGCCAATCCATCTGGACCAGCAGCCCTTCCTCGTTTCAGATTAACTATAGCCTTTTGAACTTCTGCTAGATTTGGGGAACCTACTTCAATGTTCCATTCACATTGTCTGGGAATGGAGGGTAGTTGTAGAGTAGCTGAAGGCCAGCTGAACTGTTCTCTGAAATGTTCCGCCCATCGTTCTAAACGTCTGGACTGGGAGCAGATGAGAGTATCATCTTTTTCCGAAATAATTTCACTTACACTTGACTTATTAATTCCAGTTTCTTTTATTAGTCTGTAAAGCTGTCTTGTGTTCCCTATAGTCGCCGCCTTTTCCATCTCTTTTGCTTTCGTTACCCACCACTGCTCACGGTCGTTTCTTAGACTTTTTCTTAACCTAGATCTGATTTGTTTTCGCTCTTCATCATGTTTAGAACCTGATGGGACGAGTTTGCGAGAATCCATCAGTGTGACAGACCTTGAAGAAATCCACTGGTTCCTTGCAACTCTGTGGTTTAAGTCACTAATAGATGTCACTGCTGTTTCCACAGCTGATTGTATGCCCTTCCAAGCAACATCTGGGTCAGCCTCGTCTTCACAACTACCTAAGTGTGACCTCAGTTGTTCCTGGAACCTACTTTTGGTTTTCTCGTTACTCAATTCAGTTCTAATGGGTCTTTTTAGTGTGGCTTTTTTGCGTCCAGTGAGGCGCAAGCAGATGCGTGCCCGTATTAGGGCATGGTCGGAGTCCAAGCAGGTACTCCATAATGAGCGACAATCTTCTACCGACCCTCTCCAACGATGACTGATGGTAATATGGTCTATTTGAGTCCATCGTTGGTTTGGTGCTGGGGGTCGCCATCTTAGACGATGTCTCTCCTTATGCTTAAAATTTGTGTTTGCTAAAAATAAACGATTGTCTGAGCACAGATGCAGCAGACGATCACTATTATCTGTTCGCTGAGGTGGGATACTAAAATACCCACCTAAATGTCTTTCTGTTTGGTTTAAGCTACCTATCTGAGCATTAAAATCACCTGCTACGAGTACTATGTCTGAGCGTTTAGCTTTCTGAAGAAGTTCAGAAAGCTTTCTGTAAAATTCATCTTTCACTTCATCTGAGCTGCAGTCAGTGGGAGCGTAGACAGAAACGACAAAAAGGCAACGACGTGTGTCCCTATCCTTCCGAGTTCTTACGTAGCCGTTCAGCCGAACAGCACATAGACGACTGTTGACGGGGATCCACTCTAGCAGTCCTTGTTCGGCCCTCATGCTTAGTGCTATGCCTACACCTGCCAGTCCACGAGAACTGGCCATCGGGTCACCAGATACACGAAGGGTGTATCTCGTTGGCTCTCCGTTCTGCCGAGGTGAGGTCAAGTGAATGACCACACTGGGATCCTGTATGCGTGTTTCAGAGACACAGCATACATCAATGGAAAGAGACTCTAGGGTTTTAGCCAAGGAAGCCTGCTGACCGATTTGACATAGAGTGCGTACGTTGAAAGCTCCAATGTGTAGTTTGGAGCGAGGTTTCAGTAGACCTGGGACAGAGTTTTGAGCACTAGAATCGTTGGCTATGGTGACACTTGAGGAGGAAGCCGAAGGAGGAAGTTTAGGGTTGAAAGTCGATGTAGGAGGAATAATAGGAATTGAAGAGGAAGGTTGATTATGAATACAGTGGTCTTGGGTGCTGTTAGAGGTATGAGGGCGGTTATCACTTCCCGGTTGCCCACACCGTGGAAGGGTTCTTCTGGAGGTACCTGAAAACGAAATTGGATTAGAGGCGGTCTCAGTGACCTGAGAGTGTGACCGCAGTGCCCAATGGATAACTGCTTGAGGCCGGTCGCGCACGGCCTTTTCGTGGAAGGTTTTCGACGTGTTAGCTCCGTTCTTCAAAGGGCCTTACCGCCGGAGACGAAAATCCGTGAGGTAAGGTGAGGTGTGCATTTTTAGGGTCGACCTTTTCTAACCCCACCCCTCCTTGTGGGAAGGCAGCATCGCTGTCATGCTGGTTGTCTGAAGGAAACACCTTACTGCTGTCACACCCCTCTATAGTCAGCAGTACGACTTCGCCTTCGGACCTTGGGTTTGTTGCTTTTAGTCTTACCGCTCTTCAACCGACCTGTCTGACATGGTAGGACCTTGAGGAACGGTTGTTCCAGCCAGTATAGCTCGGTTGGTTCATCACGATAGGCAAGCCCGACCACCACGTCAAGGTAGCAATAACATTGTACGTTAAAGTAGTACGCTATGTTTAACTTCAGAACTCATTCAGTCTTTCTGTGATATGTGAGTAATGCTATGAAAATACCTATGATCAGAAACTAGTTGTCTACGCATGTCTTTGATCATTATTTACAGCCTCAAAATACAGAGGAAATTGTTGTACAGTATACACACGCTATGGTTAGCAGACGGACATTTCACCTATACCACAAGTGACTCACGTTGGCAAAGGTCAACTGAGCTATTCGAATCCGTGCTGAGATTTCCTCAGACACTAAACCACAAAGGCTGATGAGATTCCCAAGGTGAGTGGAATAGTCAGTGTACTCAACTACTACAATCCTTACCATTGTATTAAGTGTTGACGCAAACTAGTCAAGAAGCAGCACTTAGAATTTCGAAGGATAGAAACTCATCACGAACATGCTTATGTTTTTGCCCAAGGTGACCAATAGATTTTGAATTTTGTCAACATCTTTACCAAATAGAACTGTATCACCTATCTATTTTAAGTCCATAAGTAGTAGGACAGTAACCCCTGGAAAGTTAAGTGAGGTGCGATTTCATAAAATCTCCGGTCACTAAAAAGACACAAATAGTCCAGAAAACTTTATGGAATTTTGCTCTCTGAGTTGGATGGTTTGTCAGAAGTCTACTTGGAGTTTGTGCTGATGATGTCGTTCAGAATAACGATGAGAGAGCTCCACCATCAAACCATCCCGATCAAACAACAAAACTCCATCAAAATCATCCACCTGAGCTACAAATCTTCTCTACCACTCCAGGAAACCTATATATTTCCCAGAAATATGAAAATATCCTGTGACTAACATTGTTGTTGTTTGTTAAAGGTAAATAGAATTCATTGTTATATACTGTTGTTAAGTTTGTTCTTATTCACTGACCTTATTCTCTTTCCGTCAACCCTCTTTTGTGTATTGTTTCGTACTACTTATTAATATTCAGTAAACAGATGTGTTGTAATTATTCCTTATGTTGTTATTGCAGGAAGACCTTTTCATTTCAAACTCACAGAAGCGCTAGGAGTCACAGATACCTCACAAGTTGATTTTTGTAACTAATTTATGTATATCACTCAACAGAAAACCGCTTTTTAGACAAATCGTCGTTTTGTGAAATTTGATTTCGCGCGTATCTCAATCGTGTGATTAGACGCTTCGATAGACTTAACAACTGTTAAAAAACATTTGAAGGTTGTTTAATATTTTCAATCCAAGCAGAAGAACCACCAGCACGTGACAGGATCTTATAACATAAACATTCAAAAAGCACCACTGAAGACAAACCATACAAGGTTGTACAGTTGTGAAGCTTAGTGCCAAAGTAATAAAAACTATCTAGACCAAACAGCTAATATCTCCAAGTGAATTACGTTAACCCTTGACTACAAACACGAAACGAGTCTCTCTAGTTAATTATCCAAAAACTCACCTGACGTGTTTCTTCACAAAATGGGTCTGCCATCGGCATATGTAAGACTCCTTTCAGTGAACCAGGCCCACTTCCATAAAACGTAAGCTCTCGATTTCGAGTATTATCGTAAAACTGGTTGAGAACAACGAAATCACCAGGTTTTTTGTCTTTCTGAAGACTACCACAAGCGTTAGTGGCTAATATGTGAGTACACCCAAGTTCTTTTAACGCCCAAATGTTGGCCCGATAATTGATCTCACTTGGCGGAAGTAAATGTTCCTTTCCATGCCTGCAAGACAAAAGTGATCAAGTCATTCATAATCCATATTAGTGTTATCGAACAGAGAAGTCGTTAGCTTTCATCACACAAAAAAGTACCTATACACTAAGAACTAACATTCATTTCAATAACATGTAAGTTTAGGTGTAAATATTTTTAAAGCTTTGTGTAGAGTTCCAAAGATCCAGTATAGATAATTGTTGCATTAAGCTTCAAAATACCTGTGTAATTATACATGAATGATCACGATGACTTATACATCCAGCGTTTGAAGATGCTGATGTAATTTTGTGTGCAAACATTTCTCGGAATTAGACTATTTAGCTAGCTTTCCAAAACTGTTTGGTATGATGTTGTGGATAATTAGTTTTTAATAAATCGAAAACAATATGATGTGATAGGGACTTATTCAAAAATGAAACATCGATTTGGGTGGCGAATATCTAGCAAATATTGGAAATAGATTCACTTGATCAAAGACCACGAATTATGTTGGACTGATAATATTCAGTTGACGCTTGATGGTCAGGTATACAGACAGTTCACTAAAAGGGAGATCCAATAACTGGTTAGTTCAGCATACATTTTGCATACCGAATTCAGTACAAATGATAATAGCTCTCTAGTTGGACACTAATCAAAGTCATTAAGTATTCACATGGCTAACCTTACTAACACCAATCTTCCTGAAAAATTTAAACCTTTATAGTCAGTCGGCCAAGTCATTTACAACTAAATGTGCACGAATATCAATGTGTGCCATTTCGTTAAACAATTAAAGTAGTGAAAGAACTTGGACCTAACAGTTTTGAAGATTCGAAAAGAATTATAATATTATTTTTTCTAACTGAAATGAAAATATTTCCCATTTAAGTTACACAACTAATGTTTGGATGCAATTTTTATTCATGTAAAGTGCTTCTACAAGATTGATAAGAGATTCGGTGAATAATTGTCATAGATAAAAAAAATTCAGTTTCATATAACAACAGCCAAAATTATTTATGGTAAAGTGCGCCAGCTTTGGTGCTACTAAACGATCAGTGTTGCGTCAAAACGTTGTAGTGCGAGTGGTTCTGATCAACCTTTGTTAAACCTGGTATTTTCGAGCTGAAGGTGTTAGAATAATGGGCTAACTTACAGTATACAACCAAACCAATGAAAAACGAGGTAAGTTGTGAAACAATTATCAAAATAAGGTTAGGAATTTGTGTTGTGAATTACAATTGAGTGTTAGGGTTGAGATTTTCATCACAAACTGACGTAAACTCCAATGCATGAATCCTAAAGCATATCCTGATCCTACTCGTCTCATAATAAGTCATTTATTAACCTTCGGCATCTCCTAAATGGCCGGAACGGTTAGCACCTCAACGTCGTTCAACAATATACTTCAGGTTTACTGAATACTGTTTGCACTGACCGTTGATGTACTCACAGGATTGTTCACATTCGACAAAAATACCGTATAATTAGTGTAAAGGTTCGGTGACTTCTTTCTGAACAAAGTCAAGATCTGATAAATTCCTATATTGTGAATTAAAACAATATATATAAGTGAACAATACTGTTTTCGATTACATCCTAATCAGGCATTACTCTAATCTACAGTAATTTTTATATACATATATGAAATTATTAAACCAATCAAGGCAGTTAGTTGATGTCAGTGATAACAGTCGAATAGATTACATAAATAAACATAATAAGTGAAAAATACGAATTGATATTGTGATGACACGTGTACTAGTTGTAATAAGAATAACGAAGGATTGAATCGATACTTCATAGTGGGAACGATATATATACAAACTGAAATAAAAATTAAATGATTACGTAATAAGATGACTGGACAACGAAGGGTTAATAAAAAAAGATGGGAGGGGGTGGAGAAATATAAACGAACAGAGCATAAAAAATAATAATCCAGCTGACAAGTCATAAATAGGACGAAACGTGCGTCCTGGATTCAATTGCTATCCATCATCCATCTTTGCTTATAACGCTTGTGAATTAACGCAATATCGAGGCAATCCATACATGATGCACATATGCCGATAAGAGACTGATCAATTGCAGACCTAAACATAAATAGGAAGATTCAAACAATCAATACAAAGTGAATTCAAAATCTTCATTTACTAGTACTTATTTATTTATTCATTTGAACACAAAAATATTGGTACAAGAGGGCACCAAATATATATGCGCCACACGAATATGATGAAATGTCGATATTTATGGAAATTTTACTAGTACACCTGTCATCACAATATCAATTCGTATTTTTCACTTATTATGTTTATTTATGTAATCTATTCGACTGTTATCACTGACATCAACTAACTGCCTTGATTGGTTTAATAATTTCATATATGTATATAAAAATTACTTTAGATTAGAGTAATGCCTGATTAGGATGTAATCGAAAACAATATTGTTCGCTTATATATGTTGTTCCAAAGTCAAGGTCATTACATAACATGTAATATTTCAAAACACCACTCTTGATGACTTTGATAAAACTCTACACATCGTGACTCGACAATTTTCATAAAAAGGACTATCTAGCTGCCACTAGGACTGATTGGGAAAAGAGGTAATCAGTAGTTAATTTCATGTTTCCCATAAACTGTAAAGTGTACTTCGATAGAATTGTAAATTACTTAGCATCCTTTATTATTTCTATTATTTTTATTCTTCAACCCACATTTCCACATTAAGATGCCGTCACTTCGTTTTGTGTGGCATATTTCTTTACTATTAATAATGCCGAGCATTTTTAGAGTGATAAGTAAACATTATAGATAAATATTTGCATGATTTCTAACACTAGTTTTTCCGACCTGAAGTTGGTCACTCAGGCATCCGATTACTTCGATTTAAAACCCAGGCAAGCGTAAAACTGGAAACAAAAATATTACACGAATGAATATGCGGGTCAAAAGATAGTGGGAAGTGTAGGTAGGTATAAATCGGCTTAAGATGTCCTATAACTAGATAAGGCCAACATCTAGTCACATTGAAAAATAGTTTAGAAAACTTTGAAGAGTGGATAATCGATTACAACAATAAGTTATTTTGGTGTTTGTACGTGATCGTAATTGACTTGTACATGGCTAAGTGTTTTATTCTAGTTCTAATACAATTAACGCATGTACGAGCCCTGCGTGGTGCGGGATCGTGGATGCGCACTGCTGAGGAGTCCCATACCAGGACGAAACGGCCGTCCAGTGCTCCCAGGTTTTCAATGGTGGTCTAGCTTCAACTGACTCATGATTTCAACCTGTGAAATTTCTAAAACTCTCCACAAAACCCATTCTGATAACGCATGTACATTTATGGTCTTCTCATCCTTATTCCCTGGTCCGATGACAGCTACTAGAGTACGTTTAGGACAGATCTGGGATGGATTCAATACAATCCCTTAATCTAGTCAAATGAATGTGTCACAGACAAATCACTTTTGTGAAAGATGATTACCTGGGAAGCACAACACACGGGACACCTTCAACAAAACCTTCAGTAAGAAAACTTGATGGATTTCCGAATGGAGTAGTTACTGTTCGCACTTTTGCTTCTTGTAGTAAATCTGGATCGTCGAATCCAGAACCTCCAATAATTCCAACCTGATATGTAAACAACAGTAAGAATAACTGCATTTTAGATAGGGTATGTCTGAAGTTTCATCAAACATACTTGGAAATAAATTAACACAACTGTAGATCATATTAAATTATAAATCTACAAATTGTGGAGATCTGTTAAAACCAAATATTTATTATCGACACAAACCATGAGCTTTTAGAGAAATATGTAAACACAAATTTTTTAATAAAGACGTAAAAATATATCAAAGTTTTGTAACTCATTTAAATGAGACAGTTTACCCAATAATCATCTTTTAAACTTACCATATACCTGGAAAAAAATATAAGTGAAAAATCCACAGAATATCATTTCGACAACCGATAGCTTTCCCAACCTTTCGAAGAATATGATACTATTTTTACTGAGATATAGATATTCCTTTCTCAATGTGGTTTACCCAATTGCTTATTTGAAAATATAATCCACTAGAAACCAACCTCATATACATTCGTCAAAATTTACATTCGTTCAAATATTTGTCTCGAGATTTTATTGAAACCACTTTCAAGTCATATACTGACACCATCAGTATATGACATGGTGTCGTGGCATGAAAGAAAGCTGCAAACATTTTTCCTGCGCAGAAGTTTTATGAAAATTAGCAGATGAGGAGGTCATGATGGGCTTTGAGACGATAGATACTTAAATCAGTATATCTTTCGCAGAAACAGATGGTCTGATTTGTGGTGCTCATTCCTAACTAGTAAGTACAGATAAACGGATTGCAAATAATCCTTCTAGTACGTAGTAACGTAGAAATTCGGTTGCTTCTTGAAAGCATCAAAAAGTGCCAGGCACTAAATGTTCAAAACAAATATCCAGGTTTAAATAATTGGATCACTGGTTTTTGGACTTCGTAGGGTGTTTTTATAAGTCATCATTCCGAAATGGAATGTAATAAAAAAATGCACATTTTTCAGGAATATTACACCCAAAATATAAACATCTACCTTGAATATTTAAACAATATGACCGTAAGTGTAACATACACGCGAAATTGTTATTTTGAAAATTATGTAAGATCGAAATCATTTGTCACCTTTTGACCTATAAGATAAAAGATCCAGTTTATGTTTGGTTGTTCTGGTTTACATTTTTGACATTTCATGTAGAGTTTGGTCCTGGAATGACTAAGTGTATAGCTAACGAGAGTATGAACACCTTCCCCAAACTCACATACGCGATGCTTTCTAACTTGAAATAAAAGATTTTATCACTGGTTACCAATATTGAAACTATATGATAAGTTTAATGTGTGTATGATACGCCATATGTATAACGACACAATCTCCTGATGTTAGAGGAAATTTTATGGTTTTTTGTTGCATTTCTCCGAAACTGTTTACTAGAGATCCCCCGAAATTGAGAGATTGGAAGGTCCTGCAAATTAAATAGGACTTCTCCAAAAATATGTCAGTTTTTGAATGTTTCCCTTAAATATAGGTTACTGAACTAGACACTACAGAAGAAACACTGTATTTCATATCTATTCTGTTT